TTTTCCTCTTAATTTCAAAGTGTTTGACTGTCTGGCAGCTACATTCTCTTCGTTTGATTCTATGGTATCTGGCACTCCAAAAGTTAAACCCACTCTTGATTCTGAGGTGTTGAACAATACAACAGGTACATTCCCTTCACCTGATTCTAATTTGCTCGACTGCTCAGCAGATACACCATCTCCACTTGATTCTAAGGTGTCGACTAGTTCAGCAGCTACATTACTGCCACTTGATTCTAAATTGTCAGGCAGTTCAGCAGTTACACTCCCTCCACTTGATTCTAAGGTGCCTGTCAATCCAACAGATATACATCCTCCACTTGATTCTAAGAGGTCAGTCAGTTCAGCAGCTACACTATCTCCACATGATTCAATGGTGTCTGGCAGTAGAACAGCTACACTCCCTTCACTTGATTCTAAGGTGTCAAACAGTCCAGCAGCCACACTGTCTCCACTTGATTCTATGGTGTCTGACAGTACAACAGCTACACTCCCTCCACTTGATTCTAATTCGTCTGACTGTTCAACATCTACAGCCTCTTCCATTGATTCTATGGTGTCAGAGAATCCAACAGTTAAATTCCTTCCACTTGGTTCTAATTTGTCTGTCTGTTCAGCAGCTGCACTGTCTCCACTTGATTCTAAGGTGTCGAGCAGTTCAGCAGCTACACTCTCTTCACTTGATTCTAAGGTGTCCGAAAGTACAACAGCTACACTTTCTGCAATTGATTCTAAGGTGTTGGACAGTACAACAAGTACATTTTCCTCACTTGATTTTAATTTGTCTGACTGTTCAGCAGGTAAACCATCTCCACTTGATTCTATTGGGTCAGACAGTTTAGTGGCTACACTCTCTTCACATGATTCTATTGTGTCTGACAGTACAACAGCTACACTCCCTTCACTTGATTGTAATTTGTCTGACTGTTCAGCAGCTACATTCCATCCACTTGATTGTAATTTGTCTGACTGTTCAGCAGCTACACTCTTTTCATTTGATTCTAAGGTGCCTGACAGTCCATCCCTTTCAGTTGTCACTAGTAACTCTGGCATATTTGAGATGAGAAGACTACCAGTGCTTGGATTGTTATAAATACTTTCATGAAATTCATTGCTAATAACAAACTCATCATCAACAGTTGTGAATTGTCCAACAGTTTCAGCATCAGTATTATCCAAAGTCATTTGTTCAAGCTGTATGGTAGATGGTGTTAAATCATCCGCTTGTTTTGGAGCTGAGTGTTCCTGTTCAGATTTCCTTTCTAATAACAAAAGACTATTAGATCCTTCATTGTGTTCTGTGTGACACAATATAGGTACATATAGGCTTATCTTTTTAATGGAGTCCTCTACATCATCAGTTTCTGTTCTAATAACTTGCACACACGTTTCTTCTGTGTTCATTCTGCTTTTAACTGTCATTTTCCCAATTTGTGATGACTCATCAGTGTCTGCTTTGCTACATTCATGGGCAGTGCCACCTTCTTCAATATCAGTTGCATGAACGTAACTGTTAAACTTAACTATACTGGTTACATCTACAAACTTTGGAACATTTGAGTCAATACTTTCAGAAGTGCTTGCTTCATCATCTTTGTTGTCTGTCCCATCTTGACTATTCTTATTTAGCTTAGTTATGTCTGATGTAATGTTTTCTTTTGAACTGTTGTCAACTGCAATGTCAGGGGATATTACTGATACTACAGGTGACACATCCCCTTGGAGAATGTTGCCAGTGCCACCTGCTTCAACTAAAAAATAATTGCCTTGCTGTGTTGGATCTAGCATTGTAACTTCTTCATTTTGATGTAATGATTCATCTGGAGACACTTCTAGTTGTTTTGAAACATTCAACATTTCTGGTTCAAGCTTTTGGTCATTAGATTGTTTACCTTCCAAAACATCTGAGGCAGTCTCCTTCTCGTCAGTGACATCCATTATATTACTTGATGAATGTAGTGGAACATCAACTTGAATGGTGACATTATGATTTAAAGGACCAGTTTCACTTTGATCTGCTGCTTCTAAAGAAGATATCCTTTCCATTTCAGAGTTTACACCCACTTCCTTCAAACACTTATCCAGATCTTTTGACTTTCGTTTTGCAAAGATATTATGGAGACTTTTCCTGCCATCCTTCTTAGATACTTTTTTCTTTGTCTTATTGTCTTTTGGATTTTCTGGAATTACTTCAGCTAGTCTATTATCATCATGAGTTTTTGGTGAAAGTGTTTTTTCTGTAGATTCATCTTTTATCGTCGTTTCTAAATGTACATCAGTTTCACCGACGATCTCGTGATTCAGAGAAGAATTCTCACTTTGATTCATTTCTAAGTTTGGTATCGTTTCAATAATCTTGAAGTCATTATCATGGTCCACATGAATTTTCTCTGCATCCAGTGTAAAGTCTTTTGACTTCCGTTTTGCGAACAGACTTTTAAGACCCTTCTTTCCTTTCCTAAGTTCTTTTTTCTTTTCTTTTACATCATGTTCTGGCACTAAATCTGCCTGGGCTTCACATATTTCTGTAACAGCTTCATCTGTTATTATATCTTTTACAACTTTATCCTCAGATAATACATCTTCAGACACATCCATTTCATGGACATTTTCCACAGTGAAGCTTGCTTCTTGACTTGAAGATTGTTGGGTTAATGCATGATCAGTATCATCAAGATTATCTGAAGTGTGAATACTGTGTTCTATCAATCCAGAAGGTCTTATAGTCTCAACGATTACATCTACTTGGTCTTCATGGTCAAGTTTAAAATCATATGACTTCTGTTTACCAAATGGATTTTTAAAACCCTTCTTTTTCTCTTTCTTTTTCTCTTTCTTGTTTTTAGTTTTACTGTCATTAAGATCTAAAGTAACACCAGTTTGTATTTGAGCTTCACACATTTTTGGTACAGCTGTTTCTTTTGTAATTAGTTTCACTTCAATGTTTTCTCCAGGTAAATCAGCTTTATTATTTGTTGAAGATGGTTGAAATTCAGTCAGATCACTGACTTCAAGATTTATGGACGAACATTCACTCTGGTCTCTAACTTCTAATGAAGGTTCTGTTTCTATTTCAGGATTTACATCCACTTCTTTGAAGACTTCCTCTCGATTAACATCACTTGTTACTTCCCCCAGTGGGAATTCTTTTGACTTGCGTTTTGCAAAGAAACTTTTCAAACCTGTCCTACTTTCTTTCTTTATTTCCTTGTCCTTACTCATACTGTGATTATAATCTTCTGACAGCACTTCAGTTTTCATATCCACTTCAGAAATTGGTGTTATAGCTGTTATTGTCATTTCAACTTCCCTTTCATCAAAAACATCTGTCCCATCACTTTTCCCTTCAGGTAAAGGAGTGTTTTTGTTTGTTGATGATGATAGTGGAATGTCAGTCATGTCACTGGTATCAGGATTTAATGCATCATTTGCATATTGGCTTTCCACTTCTGGAGGTTTTGTTTCTATTTGAAGGGTTACATCTACTTCTTTGAACTCTTCAGCATCTTGATCACCATCAATTGTTACTTCACCTAGTGTGAACTCTTTTGATTTTCGTTTTGAAAAGAAACTTTTAAGACCTTTCCTTCCTTCCTTTCTTCTGATTATAATATCTTTATGATCTTCTTCAATTGACAGACTTGATGTGTCTGTATGTAAAGATGTGTGCGAATCATCAAAATCTTCTTCATCATGGTCTGTGTGCTCAGTACTTGTTGAATCTGAGCTCTTAATTTTGTGTTCTTTTTTGTCTTTGCGCTTTCTTTTGAAAAATCGACGAACAACATCCCACTTATCCTTCATTACACTGCCTGTTTTATCTTTATCATTATCAGATGAAGCATGTTGTTGTTTTTCTATTTCTTCTTCATCTCCATTATCAGCAACATACTCTACATGTAATTTGGACTGTTTTTGTATGTTGTACTCTCCTTTACATGGGATATCGGAAACTTCATAATTTAGTTCTGTTGAACCAGTATTGGGCTGTAATCCGCCATATACCACGTTTTTTTTCTCATTTGGTTGATGAACTTTAGTAGTAATATCTTGATTGGCTTTTGTATCATCCTTTATCAAAGTTGGTGATATAAGTTGTGATTCATTTTCAATAACTTCTTCATTTCCATCCACTTTTGAACTAATATCCAATTCAACATCCACTGTCTTATCTCGGTCATCATCTTCATTACATTCTGCATCTGTTAGTGATTTACTGTTACTGAGTTTGCTATCCGGATACTTCATGTTGTTTTTTGTATCTAGTACGCCCTCCTCATTTGCACTTGCATTAAATGGTAATTCGCCTTGATCAATACTATCTGCAACATGTATTTCTGTAGACTTATGTACAGTTTTGTCTGGCAGAAAACCTGGCTTCTCATCTAAACTTATGGAAACAACATGGTCATTATGGTGGTTTTCGTCGACCATCATTTCTGTTTGCAATTCAGATTCTTCAGTATCTTTCTTCAAAATACCAAACATTCCTACATTTGTTGCATGCTTTTCAATGTTTCTAGCCTCCAGTGTTTCACTTGGATTACGGTCACATGAGTCTATCTGCATATTGTTTAGATGTTCAACATCTTTCTCTATTCTTACACTACTATTCGACTTGTCTTGATATGGCTCATCTTTTTCTTGCATTTGAATCTGTATTCGTTCATCAATGGCATACACATTGTCATTGGTATTACATATTTGGAGTGACATATTTTCTGGCATTGGTATAGGTAACACAGAATCGTCCATGGTATCTTGTTGGGTACCTAACTTATGCTTGTTTGCTGTTGCCAAACCATCATGGACAGTTTCATTGTTTACCTGATCACATGATATATCAGTTTCAACTACCAATCCATCATGGCCTTCCACTGACTTTACATGGTAATCCTTATTTATCTTTTCAACATCGTCACTTTTCTCATACTTTCCACACTTGGAATGTTCTATTTTGAAGAATTTGAACAGACCTTTTTCTTTTTTCCCAGATTGTTCTACTTCTTTACTCTCTTGGTACATTGGTGTTGCGTCTTTTTCATGTTGTACAACATTCAAAGTGATATCATATTCTTTTACTTCATCTGATGATATGTCCCTGCTTTTCTTTTTCCTGTGTCCTTTTCTTTCTTTTTTTATTTTCTTTCCACTTTCAATGTAGAAAGCTTCCATGTGTTTGACATCATCTTTATGTTGTGGTGGTATATCACTGTTTGTACTTGCCTTTAGTTGTGGTTGTTCATCCACATTTTGTTTCAAGAAACTTTCCTTTTTGACAGCTTCTAATTTCAGCTCTTCAGATGCTACATCCCTGCTGTGTTGTTTCTCGTGTCCCTTTTTTCCTTTCTTGCCCTTCTTTCCATTTGCATCATGTTCTTTGTTGCATTCCTCCTCATTTTTGTTTAGTTCATTGGATATATCTCTACTTAGCTTCTTCTTGTGTCCCTTCTTGACCTTTTTACCCATCATTTTTATATCAGTGCTTGGGTCTTGATCTTTTACCACAATAATATTTGGTTCTGCTATTACTGAATCCTTAGTGCCACCAGTTGGAGGTTTGATCTGGTAATCCTTCTTTTTCCTTCGAAAAGGATTAAATTGGCTTTTTTTTACATGTTCTTTTTCTTTTGTTTCACTCTCGCCATCACTGATATCTATCTGTGTAGAAATCGGAATGGCTGATGACCCCAATGCTTCATTATTAGCTGTACTATTGTCATCATTTGTATTCTCTAGCACACTAGTTGGAGTGACTTTTTCTGTGGTCATCATATCCTTTGGCGAATCAAAGATTTCTATTTTCTCTTCGACAATTGCTACATTTCCAGGATGAGTTTCTTTTGTTTCAGTGTTTGTTGAGCATGTAATATGTTTAGTACTTATGATTTCTCCGAGTATTACTTGTGATGACATTATCAAATTAGCATCTGCTTTCTCATCCATTTCTACTTTCACCTTTTCTTCTGTCGTGCCTAATTCTGTTGCTGGAGAAAAAGAGGATTTTATATCATCAACAATAACATGTTTTGTATCACAAACTTCCTTTTTTATGACATATTTTGGCATCGAAATGGATATTATTTGCTCTTTTTGATGTTCATGTTCAATTGTATAACAACATTCATTTTCCTCTTTTGGGGAGGATGAGCAATTTTCAATTTTTATTATTTCAGATTTAGTATCATAAGTTTGCAATTGAGTTGGGACATTAGTTTCAAGGTTCAGGTCCACTGTGATGTTGTGTTTCTCTGCTGAACAATTGTCTGAAATAATGTCTGTGCGTACTACCTGAGAGTCTGCAACATCTTCTGATTCAATGCTAGTACTACTGCTTTCTAATTTATTAATTGCATTCCAAAAATTATCTAAACCATTAAAATCTGTTTTCCCTGTTTTCTCTACAGATTCGTTTATTGGGGTTCTGGGCACCAGTTCGTCTTTGCTCTCTGCTAGAGCATTAAGACTATCACTATCAGTCTCACTTGAAGAGGAGAAAGATACATTGTCAGCACCTAATGTCTCCTTTTCCACAACTTGTTTGTCGGCATCGCCTTGTAATTTGACTAATTGTTGTTCCAAATTGAAAGATGTATCATCTGGATTAATATACACTGCAGTTATAGTTTCTTTCACAGGTGTTTGTTCAATATTATGAAGCTCAGCAGACTGGTTTTCAAATGAAAAGTTGTCATTTTGATCACTCTCATCACTGCTGCTGCTGCTACTGCTACTACTACTGCTGAGGTCGCTGATATGTTTCACATCAGCTATTATTGGCAATAAAGTTTGTTCTGTATTCTTTTCACTTGTTGTCACTAGATGCAGCTCTTGCTTTATTTCAAGATGTTCTGTGTCTTCCTTTCTTTCTTGTTCTTTTTCACTTTCTTCATTAAATGTAGATTTTTTTATTGCAGCTTCTGGTGAGGCATATTTTCTAGCTTCAAATGTGTCATGCCTTTCTTCTTCTGCTGAATATACTGGGATAAGTGTATTTAACTGTTCTGTTGACTGTATGTCACCATCAGCAATAACAGGTTGAGCATCAGTTTCATCAGCTGCAATACCTAAATCATCTTCATGTGATAGTGTGACTGGTGTTTTCTTTCGATCACTTTTCTTTTTTGCCTTTGATTTCTTTGGATATGTGTTTTCTGAATCTTTGAATTCTGTTTCATCTTTCAGGGACGCATCTACTACTGCCAAGTTAACAGTATTATGTTCTTTATGCTTCTTTTTAAAGAAATGCTTTGGCCCAGTTTTCTCCTTTGATTGGTCTTTGTTTTCTTTTGTCTGCTTTGACTCCTTGTTTTTCTTTCCAAATAATTTAAAACTTTTCCTTTTCCCCGCTTTTGTGTCTGCTGCATCTGTAATATCTTTTTCAGATATTTGTTCCCTTCTACTCGTACTGCTAACAGTTTCAATACGCAACTCAGGCCCTTCAACAGGCGCTTCACTAATCTGACTCCTCTCAATCGGTACATTGTGCGATATTTCTGAAACTGTGTATTCATTTCTTTCATTCATGCTATCATGGTGAGATCCATTTGTGTTTATATCAGGTTGTTCCACATCACATTTAATCGACAGTTCTGTGAACTCGGCATTACTAACTGTAATGTTTGATTGAGCTGGAGTCAACAATTTGCTATTTTCGGAATTGATGCTGACACTAGTGTGAATAGTGTGAGATGTTTCATTGGTAACTTTACTGTCATCTGGTTCTTCAACATTAACTGTCGATACATACATTTCAGTAGCTACATCATCGAAACGTGCAGTTGCAGTACTACAGCTACTATCATTCTGTTTAACTGCATCTTCAGTCAAGACATCAGAAACAGGTTCTTCAAATTCTGGTGTTTTCCTGACAGCCAATATGGTCACCATGCTTGAATGATCACATTTATCAGGTATGTTGTCATCCAGGAGTGGATTGATATCATATGAACCAGCAACATGACTATTTTCATCACAACTTGTAGAGCTACTACTACTACTACTGAAACTCCTGCTATGTCTTGTTTCCAGTTCAATGTTGACACGAGACACAAATTCATCATTATCTGAATTGTTGCTTGCAGTGCTACTACTTCGTGATTTTTTTTCTATCTCTTTCACTGTTCCATTTTCAGACTCATGTCTAGTTACATCAATAATATTCACTCCTGCATTGGTACATTCATTGGTTTGTGAAGTGTTATGTACATGGTCTGAGGTGACTATCATCTCATTAGTGGCCAAGTTGTCTATTTCTCCCATTACTACATATGCTGGATCTGAACTTCTACTACTTCCACTGCTGTATTTTCTTGTGATTGTTGTGGTGATGGATAATGTAGTTTCTTCCGTTTTTTCTCCATCATATGTTTCAATTACAATATTTTCGCGTTTGTCACTCCCCATGTTGTCATCGTTGTTAATGTGTACAGTACCAATCATTGGTGATTGTGACTCAACTTGAATCATTTGTGCTGTTTTCGTTAACTCAGCTGATGGAGTGTCAAATGTTTGTGATACATCATTTTTTACTTTGTCACTCGCCAAACTGCTGCTACTACTGTTACTACTACTACTGCTGCTGCTACTATCCTTTCGTTTAATTGATATGACAGCTGGATCACCTTCTTCCTTAAGTTCTGCTTGTTGAAGTTCAAACATCTGTTTTTCCTGAAGAGCATCGTCAATTTCGCTCACGAAATCCACATCATCACTGGCAGCTAGAATTACATTATCACCATGTGTTTCGATTACATCAATTTTTTCTGACAAATGCATTGATGAAATACCATGCAGCTCATTTCCATGATGATTGTTTATTTCCATCAATTTTACTTCATGATCACACAATGAGGAATCAGAAGAAGAAGAAGAAGTAGTCCTGATTTTCTTATGGGTGACAGAGTTATCAACATAAGATATATGTTCTGCGACAATGTAGCTTTGCTCATTCTCTTGAGATAGTGTGACATATGTAGTATCAGGTCCGTCTGATGCTTGACTGACATCATCATCAGATGTATGTGCTTCTTGTAGACCAGGATTCACATCATAATCACTGTCTGGTACATCATAATCAAATATAGAATCATCAGCGTCAATTGTGTAGTCATCGTGAGGTATTTGGTTATTCTTTTTATCAATTATTTGTTCATGAGGACTGGGGGATATGGCATTGTCACTCAAAACAGCACCACTGTCAATTGAATCTCCCCGTTGATGTTTGCTTTCTGAGGTTTGAAAATCTCTGGGAAGAGAATTTCCCCTTTCAAGATTTTGTTCATTTGTATCCTCTCCCACACTAACAACATTGGGCAGTGAGCTGTGTTTCTGTAGATCAAAGTCATCTTCGGTATGAGAGAAGCTGAGAATATCCTTTGGCAGCATAAGTGTTTGTGGAAACTGAGATTTAGCAACCATTGGATCTTCTAATGACAGTTTTGCCTGTCCAAATTCACGTTCTAACTCCATTCCAACTTTATATCTTGCAGCATAACTTAAGATAGTCAGGGCGTCTTCGTAAGCAATTTTGTCAAAATGTACTGTCACACTTCGAATCTTGTCACCTAGTGATAAAGAATAATGAGGAAATGAGTTAATATTCGATGATCCTGTACCTATTGGTATTCATTCAGACCTGCCATTTACTATTTCATTAAATTACAGCCATGTGTTACATACATGAACACTTTGTGAGTGGTACATGAGGTTACTAAAAGTCTGCCAAGGCGGGTAACTTTCAACAGAAATTGACCAGCCATGCATTAAAGATTATTATTATATACTTTCGTTTTCATTCCCAGTAACCACACTAAGTCACTTTGTTTAGCAGGCGTAGACAATGACAACAATGGTTTCAATGATTTCAGGGTATATTTGGTCATCACTAAGACATTTGATTTATCATTATTATCACTTCAAATTATTGTGTTATCTGTTTCACACTCTTTTAATCAGTCACTGGATGAGGGTGGCATTCAACTGAAGTAAATTTGAATGTCTAAAATTGTACTTAAAGGAGACACCTGACATGAAAGTTTGAATTTTTACCAGCCGGGAAAATTAAACATATGCGATGTACGAGTAGTCATTTTAAACAATGGTTACTAACCTTTTTCAACAACTCCTGACTGTTCAGCAGCTCCACCTGATGTTACTTTGTTGATAAATATACCATGCTGCTGACTACCAGCTATATTCAATCCAAGTGACGTCTCTGTTAGATTTTCATTTAAAAGGACTTTTAGGGTCTTACATTTCTTAATAGGCCCAACATCATAATTTGGATTGAAAGTAGGACGTGCTATTTCTGGATTCATACCATCTGGTTCATCCTGTCAATACAACCAAACAAGAGTATTGTTTATTAAATGTATGTATATTAAGTGTATGTGTGTCAGTTGGAATATCCAGACACAGAGCATAAGTGTCTCAGTTGAAATATCCAGATACATACTATATGTGTATCAGTTGGAATATTCAGATACATAATATATGTGTATCAGATGGAATATCCAGATACACAACATATGTGTATCAGATGGAATATCCAGATACATAATATATGTGTATCAGATGGAATATCCAGATACATAATATATGTGTATCAGATGGAATATCCAGATACAGAACATATGTGTATCAGATGGAATATCCAGATACAGAACATATGTGTATCAGTTGGAATATCCAGACACATAATATATGTGTATCAGATGGAATATCCAGATACAGAACATATGTGTATTAGTTTGAATATCCAGATACATAATATATGTGTATCAGATGGAATATCCAGATACAGAACATATGTGTATCAGATGGAATATCCAGATACATAATATATGTGTATCAGATGGAATATCCAGATACAAAACATATGTGTATCAGATGGAATATCCAGATACATAATATATGTGTATCAGATGGAATATCCAGATACAGAATATATGTGTATCATATGTGAGTGATTCAAGTACAGACAATATCTACCTCTGAGGGAGCCAAGTTCGGAAAAGACCAAACTCAGAGTGATTCAAGTACAGACAACATCTACCTCTGAGGGAACCAAGTTCAGAAAAGACCTAACTCTGAGTGAACCAAGTACAGACAACATCTACCTCTGAGGGAGCCAAGTTCAGAAAGGACCGAACTCTGAGTGATTCAAGTACAGACAATATCTACCTCTTAGGGAGCCAAGTTCGGAAAAGATCTAACTCTGAGTGAACCAAGTAGACACCTTCTACCTCTGAGGGAGCCAAATTCAGAAAGTACCTAACTCTGGGTTAACCAAGTACAGACAATATCTACGTCTGAGGGAGCCAAGTTCAGAAATTAACTAACTCTGAGTGAACCAAGTGCAGACCATATCCACGTCTGAGGGAGCCAAGTTCGGAAAGAACCTAATTCTGAATAAACCAAGTACAGACAACATCTACCTCTGAGGGAGCCAAGTTCGGAAAAGACCTAACGCTGAGTGAACCAAGTACAGACAACATCTACCTCTGACCGAACTCTGAGTGAACCAAGTACAGACAGTATCTACGTCTGAGGGAGCCAAGTTCAGAAAGAACCTAACTCTGAGTGAACCAAGTACAGACAATATCTACGTCTGAGGGAGCCAAGTTCAGAAAGGACCTAACTCTGAGTGATTCAACTACAGACAGCATCTACGTCTGGGGAGCCAACCTCGGAAAGGACTTAATTCTGAGTGAACCAAGTACAGACAACATCTACCTATGAGAGAGCCTAGTTCAAAAAAGACCAAACTCTGAGTGAATCAAGTACAGACAACATCTACCTCTGAGGGAGCCAAGTTTGGAAAAGACCAAATTCTAAAATAACCAAGTACAGACAATATCTACGTCTGAGGGAGCCAAGTTCAGAAAAGACCAAACTCTGAGTGATTCAAGTAAAGACAATATCTATCTCTGAGGGAGCCAAGTTCGAAAAAGGCCAAACTCTGAGTGATTCAAGTACAGACAACATCTACCTCTGAGGGAGCCAAGTTCGGAAAAGACCGAACTCTGAGTGAACCAAGTACAGACAGTATCTACGTCTGAGGGAACCAAGTTCAGAAAAGACCAAACTCTGAGTGATTCAAGTAAAGACAATATCTACGTCTGAGGGAGCCAAGTTCAGAAAGAACCTAATTCTGAGTGAACCAAGTACAGACAACAACCATCTCTAGGTGAACTAAGCATAGTTCTATATTTATATGATGTCTGCCTACCTCTATAACTTTTGCATATTCATTTTCCATTACTGCTGTTCCTTCCATGTCTTGACTATTCAAACTTGACATGAATACTTGGTAAGCCGTGCACTCTGTAAAAATACACGACATGTTTATTATATAAACGAGATGGGAATTAATGTAGTAATTAACATGAATTTAATAATAAAAAGGAGTAGCACCAAGTAGTACATTTTGGGATACTGTGTACAATGATTCAATCTGATACAACTATAGGTTACACGCTATAATAAGAAATTGCACACTGACGTGACATTAACCAGGGGTAAGTGGGGATAGCTGGTACAGGTTACAGGAAATAAAAAATGCCTTTTACGTTTTTACAGGAAATAAAATGGAAATTGTTTACACTTTACAGATAAAGCAAATTCCTTATTACATTTTTATAATATATTTGATAATTTGCGTTTAAGAATTAAAATTACGACATTTAATGTGGAAAATACTTTATACGCTTACAAAAAAAAATGAGATCTTTGCACAAATTACAAACGAATAAAATAGCTGATTACATTGTACACCTTGCCCATATCTACGAATTTATGTTTTTTGTTTATTTAAATTACATTATTACGATTCATTAGGTTTTTAGTGGGGTTTTACTGAAAACCAAAGTCTCATGAAGTGGCTCAATGATACAATAAGGTGAGTAATGGGTGAGGGCCAACTTTTCTAATATTGTCAGTATATGTGTAAGTAAGTCGGCTTTAGTGTGGACCATTTAACTATTTAAAACTACTAGTCAAAGTCTGTTTACAATGTCTTCTGTGGAGAACTGTATAACTATAATGGCGTCATAATACATATTTGAATACAATGACTATATAGCACTGTATTGTGCACATATATAATGACACTATTAAAAGTGCAAATGTATTCTTACATTATATTACATTACATTACAATTCCAAACCCAACCCCATAAGGCCTTCTGGTATTACTGATAATTCCATGAATATTACCGCTTTATCAGATATAACCACTTCTACTGTAAATTTAGAGTTTTTGGCTTCATTGTAGCAAAATAAAATATTTTCTCTTCCTAGTTTTTTCCCACGTATATTTTCAACATGTGGTTCTAAGAATGGTTTAGTGATTACAGTTCGTTTTTTTCTCGCTCTCTATTTTTCTGATTTGTGGCTGCGCTGGAAAGAATTGGGAGAACTTTGACCTTTGACCTGTTCGAGGGCTACAGGAACGCTCTGCGTTAATACGGTCATCTATACTTTGTGATATTCTCTAATAACGTCGTATTATATTACAGTGTAGTTGTATAATGATCTTACAGTGACCTATATAATGATATCACAGTACAATTGTATTATTACGTAACAATCATTTGTATAACGCAAAAGAAAACGTCGAAAATTGGTAATCGATATTCGCTACCAAGACAAAATAGCTCTTCGACTCCCGTCCGAACGAAATGCCTTTTGTTTTTTGAGGAACGTTGACAATTTGAGAACAGTTCTAACCACACACGAAGATCGTCAAAGGCGTAATAATTAACGAGTGTCTTGTTTAGCTTTGTGGTGGCAATGTAAACTATGGCCTTGCTCAATAAATGCCACGACTACCTATCTCAAACTATTTTGGTCTGTCATTCTACAATTATGTTATCTCGTCACTGTGGTTCACTGTGAAAATCTTTAGTAATGAAGGTTTCACATAAGCTATATAACAATTACACTATTGTATTGAATAAGTAGTTGGGACGCCAAGTGCACTGTTTTCAGTTTGATCAACATGAATGTCAAAACCTTACAACAATACGTGCTGACATTGCTTATCTTGTGTTTGAAAATTATAGCGTCCAATGTAAATAAATAGACGCGCAGTTTGTTTGCCAAGTCAACTATCAGAATTGAAGTCGTATGTATTGTCATTGTACATGCTCCATTTAACATGTGTGTTCTGCGCATGTCTAAAGTTGGCTTTTACACAAGATTGACTGCTAGTGAGAATTGTTTAATTGCGGCAGCCAAATGGGTCTTTCCTGATGTTTCTCCGGCACCCTGTTTTTAACTTCTGTTTTGCTTTCATGTTCCTTAAAGTAACTTTTAATTTTGTGTAATGAGCTGGTTCTCGAATTAAAAATTATTATTATTATTATTATTATTATTATTATTATTATTATTATTATTATTATTATTATTAAAATAGAATTAACAACAGCCATCACTCAATCCAACTTGTTACACCTAGATGTATTGAGAAATCAACTCCAAGGGCAATCTTGCATATACTATCATTCTAAACCACGTGACTGGTGAGTCTCGGCGCCAGCCAACATTCTGAAGACTTTCAATGTCTCGATATTACACGCGACGTATCGATATCGCATCTAAAGTGTCGATATTACAGGTGATGTCTCGATATCGCACCTAATGTATCGACTGTGATCGTACGGATTATGGACAATGTTATAAAAGGAAACCTTAAATTCATTGAGAGTCCTTTTGTTAAAAATAGAACCAGAGTTGGGAACAATACATTTATTATAACAGTAAGTTTTAAATAGATTAAACATCATAGCTGCAGTTCTCATTTTTTTTAAGAACGAGGTTAGCTCTAACACAATAAGCGATGTCGCTGGTCGAAGTCCGCAATATCAATATGTCCCGCGTGGCCCTATGGCACAGATACGTAAACTGCGACGATGAATCAGGTTGACCGGGGGCAGAATATTAAGTTTAGCCTTGGCGGCAAAATGCATACACTTTACAGAGCGTATCGTAATTAGTAGCATAGCATTTTCAAAGCTCTTTTTATTGAGGGCGCTGAGGCACATGTCACCCACAAAACTACTGTTTTTAATTACTTTGTTGCCAATAAGACATTGCAAGTTTATTTAACTGCACATTTAGGTCATCTACATACACATTGAGCACAGATGGCGACAAAACACCCACCACCTGTCTGACTCCACTAGATTCATTGAATGGGCGGGACATAGACGCCCATCTAACACACAGTACATTCAGTTTATCGACATTACACATGTATCAATTTTACACTTAATGTGTCGATATCACATTCAATGTATCCATTTTACACTTAATGTGTCGATATCACATTCAATGTATCTATGTTACACTTAATGTGTCGATATCACATTCAATGTATCTATGTTACAATTAATGTGTCGATATCACATTCAATGTATCTATGTTACACTCAATGTGTCGATATCACATTCAATGTATCTATGTTACACTCAATGTGTCGATATCACATTAAATGTATCTATGTTACACTTAATGTGTCGATATCACATTCAATGTATCTATGTTACACTTAATGTGTCGATATCACATTCAATGTATCTATGTTACACTTAATGTGTCGATATCACATTCAATGTATCTATGTTACACTTAATGTGTATTTTTACATATATATTTTTACAGCATATTTATTTGCAATCATGATACACACTTTGACCACGGTGTGTATCATTGCTGTTCAGACCACTGATCAACAGCCGTGTATTTGGTGTACTTGGCATGTTTCAGCTATTGCTCCACGGTCGACCAAGAACGAATAATTAAAACAGAGGTCACGGCAGTTTGTAGAAATGGAAAAATGAACAGCGAAAACTACCGCATATCCTGATCATACCGACTATACGACATCAAGCTCTATGTGTCTCAATTAAAGGCGACATAACATTGTTTTATCTTACACTACAGTATAAATTGTCGAAAATGCGTTAAGTAAGTCAAGGACGAATGGACGTGACAATACGCACGATTACTCGTTGTTAACTCTTACAGTTTATGGTTTAGCAATGTTTATTGTAACACGGAATGGATTGACAAAATAGCCAAATAAAGGATAAGAAAACAGATACAACTCAACAACATACATTCAAAAGACAATGAATACATGAAATGACTAACCTGACACCAAGTCAAGTATCATAAAAACAAACATTTAATCACACTGGGCAATCTGATAATTACTGAAGAAAATGGCACATAAAACTGTTTCAATAGTGGGAAATTGAAGTTGCCTATTAAATAAGTCTTATAAGTCCTATAAAAGAATATATAAAATGAATGTCGATGAACCAGACGTTGACGAGGGAACTCAAGGAACAATGTTTGTATATTATTGTTTGAAATGGTTCAAATCAACAATTGCCACAGTTTTCTATTGATAACAGGATTTCTGCTTGCTTAAAAGTATTATACTAATAGCTGCACCCACAGAGAATTATTGTCTTATTGAGTCACTAGTCGGACAGGGTATGACCAGGTGAGGAATTCCATGCGCACCTTTACTTACTACAATACAATTGTAATATGCCCAAAACGCTGAACATTCGTTTACTCATTGCGATTTTGCGAGTACCGTCCCATGTAACTCTGGCATATCACGAACTTGGCATGTCCCGGTACACTTACTTTCAATAAAGAGTTGCGTCTGTTGTGCACTATACAAGGACAACTTAAAGGTAAATCACGTATATACGCCAACAAGCCATACCTATTATGCTGAACATACAATGCATTTGGGTCACCCAGCTTGAGTGGAAACTTACACGGAGCCTTGAAACGGATAGATCTAATTTACTTCTACATGCTGCTGGTTTGTCTATTTCCAGGCAGTCACCATATATTTCTTTTGTCAATTACTGTACAAGTACAACAAGCACACTGAATCTCGAAGTGGGGGTTTGCCTTGACCATTGAAGTTGTAAATAGGGACACCTGTTGTGGACACGAACAGGGAGTGTCGCAGTGACGAAGAATGTACGAGGAGTGGTTTAGGAGGGGTTAAGAGATCAAAAAACGTATTTTTGTAATTTGGTCTTACCTGCTAATTTATGGTTTTAAGTACGGCACATTTTCCAATTTGTCGACTCAGACAGTTTAAAACGTGGAAATCCTTTTCGTAAATAGCACACAAAAAGTCTTTCTTTGCCGTTTGCTTCTGGGTAACGTTGTTTTCACTTCATTAAAATGCGTGGCATGTGCAATAAAATGAACAACGTCGTAAAGGTATGCGTTGTGTGAGATCACGTGACACAGCCGACCAACGACCCAATTGTTGAGAATGATAATTG